CCTTTGACTTCCAGGGTATATACCCTGTCCTTTGACAACTTCTCTAAGGATTTCTTCAGTCACTCGAGGGTTTTCTTTTTTTTTTTTGCTGTTAATAATATTCAAATATAATGCAAACAATGTGCCAGAAAGTCGACGCAAAGTTGTCGCTTCACTGGGGGGTCGGCCACACCCCCCTTCCGGTCGACAAGGCCCTATAGTTTTCACTCAACTGTTTGCATTAATTTGATTCCTTTTTGGCCGCTCGTTTTGTATTGTAATATCCGGCCGCTTTGGCCGCGCTTCCTGGCCAAGAAAAACAAAAAAAAATATAGGCAGGCGTTCATTTTTTATTCAGCACACTTTTGGCCAACAGTCGACTTGGCCTGGGCGATTTCAGCCAACTTTATGCAGCTCTTTGTTTGCATTTTCCAACTCATTAAGAGTAATTCGCTTTGCTCTTCGTTATGTATTTTCCTCTGGTCTTTTTTTCTCATATTTTTTTATATTTTTTTCAATTTGCTTTGCATTTTTCAGCGGCGTGTTGAAGGTGCTCGAGTGGAAATTAAACACGCCGCCAGCTCGCCCACTCACCTAGGCACCCCCCAACCCACTTTTCCAGACCTGGCCTAAATATTTATGGGCCTAAATAATGGCCAGAACTGAAGAGGATGGCCAGACGGGCCCTGGACTTTAGTTAATTAATCATCGCATGAAAAATCACTGTATCAGTGGTCAGCAGCAGAATCGGATGGATGGTGGACGTGGATGTGGAAGTGGAAGTGGATGTGGAAGTGGATGTGAACATGGATGTGGACGTGGATGTAGGGCGTTCAGGGTGCGTAACTGGATGCGAAACTAAACCTGAACCACAACTGAAACTTGGACTCCTCGGACCGGGGACAGCCTAAGCGAGCCCATAAATAAAGTGACAACAAACACACTTTCGGTTCGCAGGGAGGGGTGAAAATTACGCACGAGATTGTTGAACAAGCCAACAAACAAGGACGACGACTACGACGACAGCAATGTGGTCAAAACACAGCTAAAAAAAAAGAAAAAAAAAATAAAGAAAAAAGCAGAAAAAGCGGGAATGTGACATGAACAACAAGGCGACTGCCGGCTGCCCACTAAGTATGCGCAAGTAAGCGATAGCCTATGAAAAGTGGCAGACAGCTCCTGAAAATGGGGGGAGGGGGGTTCCAGATAAACCCGCCACCAGCATAGATATAGCCCAGGCACAGTGGTTATGGCCTCAAGTTAAATCCGCCAATAATTGCACAATTAACCAATCGCCTTTGCACTTACGAAACTGCGCATGCAATGTAAGCTCAATTGGTCGTTAAATATAATCACTTAAAATGTCAAACAAAACTGGAAAAAAAATATATGTTTACATAAAAATAAAATTATAAACGATTTTTACAAATGGCCAGAAATGATAGTCAAGACTGAATAAAAATCGATTAAATCGTTGCTTGCATTCATCTCACTGCTAAATACAAATAAAATATACGTATATGAATACATTTTTGGTCAGCCATTCATTGACAGTAGAAATAAAATAAAAAAATTAAGAGTGCCATTCGCAAATATTATTTGTGTACGCAATGTATTATGGAAATGCCAATATAAGTGCTAAAAAGTAAAGATGATGAGTGTAAGCTGTGAATTGGATTTATTTATTTTTAAATGCTGCAGTTTTGAATTGCATGTAAAAGCTTATAAATTGGGTTTAACTATGAAAAGTAAAATCTATGATTTGTATAAATTTAATTTATGATTTTTATTTGCCAGGCGAAACTGTGAGTTGCAGAATAAACAAAAATTAAATGTATATTCTACGGAAACACTAGTGTTGGCAAATTAATAAAAAGTTGTATAGAAATTATTAGTGTTGCGAAGTAAGTTAACAAGTTGTTTAAAAGTTTGCTGTGGTAATAAGTTCGGTATGAATCCATTGACATTTCGGATTCCAAATAAATTGTTGCATACTTTTAGGCACCTCTACTTAAAATATCTGAACCTTTACAAATTACTAGCGTTGGGAAGTCTGTTGAAAGTTGTCTAAAAGTATGCTGCGGCAAAAAGAAGTGTGGATTTGGGTATGAATCCATAGGAATTTTAAATTGTAAATAAATTGTTGCATACTTTTAGACACCTCTACTTAATACTGTACCTAAAGAAACTATTAGTGTTTCGAAATCAGAGAAAAGGTTGTCTAAAAGTATGCCGAGCTATAAAAAAGTTTAGTTTTCGGTATGAAACCATGGGAATTTGGGCTTCCAAAAAAATTGTTGCATACTTTTAAACACCTCTTCCTAAAACTTCTGTAACTTTGTATACTTTTTGTATACTTAAGTGAGTTGTACAGAGCTCTTTGGGGAAAATATAGTTATTAGCTGGGCGAGCTCCACTGTGCCCACAGCAAAAAGGACATGGGGAACGGACAGGCCCCGCAAAGCATGCAACAATTTGTGGCACTTGAAACGCAAGTCGCCCGCAACGCTTGACGGCTGACGGAAGTCCGTTAGCGTGGCCAAAAACTAATGCTAATGTATGTGTGAGCAAGTGTGCAAGTCCTGCGGCCATCTACCCCTCAAACTACCCTCGCAGAGCAAATATCCTTGTGCCGAAGCAGAATGTTGGAATAAAATAAATAATCATAAAATAGAAATAAAATGACAAATTATTTCCGTTTCCGTTGAGCGAACTTCGAGGCGTGGCTGGCCTCGGTGGAGGTGATGTGGTGGTGTGGATCGGGTTTTCTGGCCAGGCTGAATCCTGGTTCCTGGCTTCCACAGATTTCTAGCCATCCAGAACATGCCTCGCACAGGAAGGAGTGTAACGAACTGCGCGGCGACGAGACCAAACGAATCGAAACGAAAACGTGAGGGCCTAGAACAGAGGGGCGAAACTTGGCTAATATATGCAGCTGCCAGTTGCCAGTTGCCAGTTGCCAGTTGCCAGTTGCCAGTTACGTCCGCCCTCGCAGGACCCAGATGATCCTGGCAGCTTGTGTGACAGGAACACAGTAGCAGGAGCAGGAGCAAAGGCAGCACCGAGTGCATAATGTACTTAATGCGCCCCTGGTTTCCTTTGCCTCTGGCATAAGTAATTGGCCTTTCGGTTTTCCCTTAACCGCTCGTTTTGTCAGCAGAATGTACATGGGCACATGGGCCGTATACGTGATGCTCATACGCACTGCTCTTGGGTTTTTCATGTTTTCGTAACCGGTGTTCTTTGATTTAACCTCTAAGGTTTGGCCCGCCACCTCAATCGATAAACGAACATGTTCGCCGACCATTGCCAGGTCATTCCCCACAATGCTCAAATTAAATATTTACACATGCCGCAAATAGAGCCCTCATGTATGTAAATGTGTGCTTATGCCAGTTCATAATTAATAATTATTTTATTACTTTCACAAACAAACGGTGTAAAAGGGCAGAGCTCAAATGGCAGAGCCAGCCGTCTACTGGATACTCTATAACTTAAGTGGCCTCTATAAATTACTGTGTAATCCATATATCGAATAACAAACTTTGGAATGGAATGCTGATTATTTTTACAGGTAATTAGGAGCACTAAAATTGAGAGCTTTTCAATTTCGGATTGGCAAACGCGAACTGTGAATCAGACAGACCTCTCCACCACAAAGGGCAGCCCGTGGGCTACAAAATTATGACCGCAATTTGGGAAATGAAATGCATAAAGCAAAATAAGCAAATGGCACGCAAAGTGACCCGAGGCGGCGTCAAAACGTTCTAATTGGCCGCACAAAGCCAACCACGGGGTCAGCCTGAAGGGGCTGGGGGTACGGAGCGATGAGTAGGTTTTCTAGATTCTGGGAATGACGGGGGTGGTATTCGTGGCACTTGAAAAATACTAGGAGTAGGGTCCTCGCTCGAGCGCCACTTCACTTCTTGATTTCTGCACTTACCAATTGCATCTGGTTCTCGACAAGGCTACAATTTGTACGTAAATGAATATATATAAATAAAAACATAGCTACCCAATGTTTTTACAAGCTTCCATTCTTTCCCTGTAAGTCCCTGTTTGGGCGCCACTTATCATCATTATTATTCTTATCTCCCTACGTACTGTAATCTTTAGATATGTTCAATATATTTGACCAAATGCGTATATCATATATTTATTCCATACTCCATAAAATTCATATCGGTTAATATGGATAAAACTACGGTCCCTAGTAAAGGTTTTATAAAGCAGAATTAATCACTATATAAAACTTTCACAAAATGGATAATGAAATTTCCGTTTCCACCAATGTTGGTTGATTTACGTCTAAATTAAATATAAACATTTTCTATGTTTTCTAATCGGCTTTGGAAATAATTTGTAAACCCAAAACTCTGCTATATAGGATTTTGGTGCTTAGAACCCTCTAAATTTTAAGCATGGAAAATGGCTATAATGCATATCTGCAGCGGACATGTGTGTGTTTGTGAATGTGAGGGGTTGGTTGGCTTAAAAACTTTCACATGACTTTCAGGAATAACCACTTATTTGCCCCGTGTAAAATCACTAGAGTAAAATGAGTGAGTTCAAGGACCAAGCCCCTGAACCAAAAAGGGCCCCACCTGCCGAAAGGCCTGCCCAGAAACCCTTCCCTTTTGGATCGCATTGAACTTGTTTCAGACGCCCCCTACCGGCGTGTACATAACCTCGTTTCGTATTTATCAACGACTCATCATTGTGATGGAGGGCTCCTGTCAGCGGGCCGCGCCCCGCGTCGAATGTATTAAGCCGTACCCCGGGGAACTGGGAACTTGGAACTGGGAACTGAGAGCTGGGAGCTGAAAACTTGGACCTCCTGAGCCACTCCCGGCGGCCTCTTTTGGGGAAACGGGCCCCAAGAGCCCATCGCCCATCGCCCTCCGTCGCCTCCAATGGAATCTCAAAAATGGCGTGCCGAACAAAAATTAAGCAAATAAACTTGTCAACACATTCAACTTCATTATCGAGCCGAGGCCGCTCCCCGATGGTCTGAAACTTACCCGTCTGCAGAGCTCTTGTGGTTTTTTACTTTTTCCGCCGCTCGGTTTTGTTGGGGTGTTCGGACCTTCGTCCTTGGGCGGCCTGCAAAAAAGAAGGGAAAAACAAGATGAGAAGTGAAATTATGACCTGGCTCAAGCTGCGAGATCCCAAAATGGCCGCCCAGGAATATACATATGCGAATATTTTGTGGTTTAATTTAGAGTGCCTGCGGGCGAGTTCGCAATAAGTATGAGTTTGAGTCAAGGGTTCGGGTGGGACTCCCCCAAAAAGATTCGCAATCACGCGCCCATTTCAGCAGCCGCCGGCAAGGACGCACACTTCAAAAATCCCCCAAAAAATCTTATAAATTCCTCTGAGCACGAACACTCTACTGCCGTGGAATATATGCCTGTGGTAAATTAAGTCCCTTTATACCTCCAAAGAATTGTTCTTTAAAAAAGTTGTGATTCATTTCATTTTTTATAAAATGGATCAGCTAGATCCATCACAAACTTGTTGGGGTTGGTTACTTTGAAATCGTTATTTAGATGGTGAAGCGATAAGGTTCTATAGAAGTGATATTCCTCTATATTTTTGGATAATTTTATGTCACTTTGTAAGGTATTGGAAATAAGTAGGTATATCCATATAGATTCTTCTACAAAATAATATGAACAATCCCAAGTGATGAAATATTAATATACCTCACTTAAGAAGGCCTAAAAGTAGGACACTTATCTTTCAGATTAAAGACAATTTGAGCTCCAAAAAGCCAGCAAGGGAGTAAGCCATTTTCAATATTCCATGGCCCGAGTGCCGAATTCAGATAAATCATGAAACTTTATAGTTTTACAAGCAGTTGGACACACAATGCCCAACATAATCAGGCGAAGCAACAGTGGGCATCAATTTTACAGCCCCCCGAGCGGGGATCCAAACAATTTGCGCAAATATTGTTGTTTGCATATCGAACCCTTCTCGCCATCGACCATCCACCATCCACTATCGACCATCCACCATCCATATCCACCATCTACCATCCACCATCCACCAAAAGCTGCACAATGAGCGGGGCGAGCAAACAAATTTATGACCGTCATAACGTTGGGATGGCCGGAGTCGATTGGAGTCCGGCAAACACGGGGCCGACAAAATGTCTATAGTGCTACATAATAATCATAATAATAAATAGCAATAAAAGCGCTACAAAGGAAATTAAATTTCTGTATCCGCAAAGAATTTCAAAAGTGCACACAGGAAACGACAGCGGATCTGGGGTTTGGTTTCTGGAGGCACTGGCCCTTCCCCTCTACACTTTGCGGCCCTTAAATTGCCCATAAGCTGTTTAACTGAGTTATTAGGGCCTCGAGTTTCGAGTCGCCATCCTCATCCGCATCCTGCTGACCCCCAGATCCTTGAGTCCTGGCAGGACAACTCCTCGAGTGCTGCTGGTTGGGCAGCCAGCGTGGCAGGATGGCTATATTAATGTTAATTAATGTTAAATGCCTAGGCGTTTCAAAATCATTTGCAATTTGGCCAGAACCGCTGTCCAAGCACCCAGAACCAAGTGCACCGTTCGAAATTGATGAGATATTATACTCGTTTTGATGAAATTCCATAGCCATTTGAGCGAAAGTGAAAGTAGCAAGAATATCATGTTCCTAAATTTGAATATATCTTTTTTTTGAAAAGGTACCAGGTATTTGATATGATATATGATATGATACATGATATGATATATGATATGATATGATATATGCTATGATATATGATATGACATATGATATGATATATGATATTAAATTTGTTAGTTATATCATGTTTAGTGTTTTATAACTATGTACAAATAAGGATATGATTGATGATCTTAGTATTTTTTTATCTGTGGGAATACTGAACAGCCCTTGTCGACGCCTCCAATGGCCCATCACCATCATTAATAATTTGATAATTAGTTCGAGTTGTGGCGTTGACGCCTGCCAGTGTGAATCCTGCAGGATCTATATCTGCAGGGACTTTCTGTGTTGTTTTTGAGAGGTCAGTCGGGGATATCCTTTGAGGGACCTGAACGAACAGTGGCAAACCAATTGAGTCGCATTTAACGGGCTGACAATGGGGCATATATATGTATGTATATGTATAAAGCGCTTTGTTCCACTCGGTCGGCAGTCGTGGGCGGTGGGGCGTTGCCCTCAAAAAAAAAAAAAAGAAAAAAAAAAGAAAGAGCTGGGGGCGTGGCCGGCCATATATGACGTGTGACAAATTTTTGCGGTTGGCAAAGCCAACGAGGGTCGTGTATTGTAGGTGGCAAATGTGTCTCCTCTCGTCTATGGCCGGAAAATTGTCCAACATATCCGGGTAGCGTTGAGGTTGGCTGGCCATTGTGGAAAATGATGGTAGCATGTAGTAGTAGTCGTCCCAGGGGTGGGGGTTTTTGTCCAGAACCCAGCAAAATACCGCTTTACTTGCAGTTAAATAGGGCGGAAAAATAATTGAACCATTATCAGGCAGTCTGCCGTATCCACACACAGTGTACATTCTGTACATCCTTGAGGAGAGTTTGGTGAATAAATTTCGAGCTTGTTTCGTTTTTTGGTTTATTGTGCTTATTACAAAATATTTAACACCCGCCAAGGAGCAGAAGGAGCCAAAGGAGCTGCCACGCCCCTGTCACACAGTCGTCCAACGCCCCCTTTTGGGAGCTCCTTGTATTTCATCCTGTCTGGCTGAAAATTGTTGCCTCATTGTACAAATTTATGTTAATATTTTAAATTTCCGTGCTGGCTAGCGAAGACTGAACGCCCCCAGTTGTTTGTTATTGGCCTGGATGGCCTGAGTGTCCTGGGTGTCCTGGGTGTCCTGTGAACGAACGCCCCATGTCGCTTGTAAAATGTAATGTAATTTCTACGCTGCCGGCTTTTGGGGGGCAGGACGAAAAGGACTCGGGTCTCAGGACCCCGGGAGCTCCCACGTATATTTGTGAAACAGGAGAGCCGCTTAAAGAGCGGCCATATTTTTAAAATGCCGCAAACTGCAATGACAGTTAACGCCACTGGAAACGCATGTGTAGTGGGGTTTTATAAATATTTAACGCTCATATTTTATGCACATTTTTCATACATGAAGCAGCTTGAGCGGACAAAGGACAATGGCCAATGGACGTTCGGCATCATTAATTAATCCCAAAACGTTGATCCTGATGGACCGCAGAACGCCCAGAACCCCCCGGAACACCCCGAAACAGGGGCTTTCGGCTTTAAGTGCTGGAAAATTCAAGTGAAAATTGTGAAGGGAAAATGGTGAAAAATAAGCAGATGGAAAATGCTAAGGCCGCTGGTGCTGCATTGTGTGTATTTAAACGTCCTCCGCCCACCATATTGCGGCATGTTGTTGCGTTGAGCCTCATTAAGCGCACTTTGTCCTGCCGACTGTGTCCATTTAAAGGAAACTCCTCAGCCACCCTGCCCCTCAACCCCGCAACCGATTCATTCCTTCTCGTTTGCCATAAATTATTTTTAAATGCATACTTATGTGGAATTTTGCCACGCGCTGCCGCGACAACTTTTCATAATTTTTATTTACATGATGCGGTTGTGGGCGATGGCTACAGAGGTCCTGCTCCTGGTCCTGGTCCTGGTCGTGGTCCTTCCTGAATGCCAGCAGCCAGGATTGAGGGCCGCTTTCAGTGGCGGTGTGTAACCGCATTAAAATGATTTGTAACGAGCGATGGCGGGCCTGTCTGAAGCCCGATGGCTTTGCAAAAACAAAAAAAAAGCAGAAAACTGAAAAACGGGCGAAAAAATAAACGGACAGCCAGGTTGTGCCGGGGGTGTCCTGCAGCATTTACCACACGCATCACTTGCCACGGCGCCTGCATCTGACTCCCTGACAGCACATCCCCTGATGTCCTGCGATGTCCTCCGATGTCCTCCGTCATCGCGACCCTCGAATGCCGCTGCATTTCAGCCGGAGGTCATTCGGGTCGGCCGATCGGAGGTGGCGCTGGCTGCACGAGTTCAAACGCGCATTAAAGGGGAAAAGGAAGGATTCTTAAAGGGGCTTCATAAAAATGTTTACTTTCTTTATAGCAGCCAAAAAACTGAATTTTTAGGGCGAAAAATGGAGTTCCGATTTTAGTCAAAAATACGAAATTTCGATTTTAGTCAAAAATGCGATTTTTCTTTCCAGTTTTGTAATCGTAGTTTGGTCAAATCAAGGCGTACAGCTAAAAGACCGACTGTTTTGAACAGCTTGCTAAATTTGCTAACGATCCCAACCAATTTAAGGAAAATTTATTTTTTTACCAATTTCCGATTTTTTGGTAAGGGGGTGCATCGTCTATTTTTGCGAAAAATGTGAAAAATTAAAAATTTCCAGGTTTGAACGCCAATGGATTGGAAATTAAGCAACGAGCTCAACGAGGTATGACATTCCTCGATCTGACGTATACTTTTTTTATAGCAGCCAAAAAACTGGATTTTTAGGGCGAAAAATGGAGTTCCGATTTTAGTCAAAAATACGAAATTTCGATTTTAGTCAAAAATGCGATTTTTCTTTCCAGTTTTTTAATCGTAGTTTGGTCAAATCAAGGCGTACAGCTAAAAGACCGACTGTTTTGAACAGCTTGCTAAATTTGCTAACGATCACAATCAATTTAAGGAAAATTTATTTTTTTACCAATTTTCGAATTTTTGGTAAGGGGGTGCATCGTCTATTTTTGCGAAAAATGTGAAAAATTAAAAATTTCCAGGCTTGAACGCCAATGGATTGGAAATTAAGCAAAGAGCTCAACGAGGTATGACATTCCTCGATCTGACGTATACTTTTTTTATAGCAGCCAAAAAACTGGATTTTTAGGGCGAAAAATGGAGTTCCGATTTTAGTCAAAAATACGAAATTTCGATTTTAGTCAAAATGCGATTTTTCTTTCCAGTTTTTTAATCGTAGTTTGGTCAAATCAAGGCGTACAGCTAAAAGACCGACTGTTTTGAACAGCTTGCTAAATTTGCTAACGATCCCAACCAATTTAAGGAAAATTTATTTTTTTACCAATTTTCGAATTTTTGGTAAGGGGGTGCATCGTCTATTTTTGCAAAAAATGT